TAAGTCAGATTTGGAAAATCATCATAAATTGTACAAATTGAACTAGAAGAAGTGCATTGTATATTTAGATTCGTATTCGAGTCTAGTCTCAATTGGTACAAATGGAATAATTTTTAAGTGTGTAGAATAATACAAAATAATATTTCTTTGAGGGTAATGAAAACTGACAGAATATGAAATTGTGGTAAATCATGCATTTTATAATGCTCTTGTAACATCCCAAACTATGAGTTAGTGATTAAATTGTAAAATTTCATAATTTGGTGATTAAAGTGGAAAAGTTGAAAGGTTCAATGATTTATTTGAAGGTATTTCCTTAAAGTTTTAGTAATTATTAAGAGAATTAAAGGGCAAAATGGTTATTTGACAATAAAGATATTTTCCCCTATTATATGAATGAATCACGTGGGGGAATGGGGAAGAGTTATCTTCTTCTTTCTCTTCTTCATTTTCTTCTTCCCCCATGAAGGTTCCAAGGTAAAGGTGAGTTTTCTGGTTAATAAATTATTTGTTGATTTTATGAGTTAGTTTTGATCATTAGATGATAATTAAGCTTAAGGAAAGCTTAATTTGTTCTAAAATAACAAGATGAAAGGTTTAGGAGAGATTAAAGATTTTGAGTTCTTGAATGAAATCTTGAAATATAGTTGATAAGTTGAATTTGACTTGTCATCTATGAGAATAAGAAGTTAGAAGTATTAGAATTAAGTTTGGATAACATGGACAATTTGGTATGATTATTGATTTCTATATGGAAAATAGAATTTTGAGGTTTAAGATGAAATAAATGAATATAAATTAGTTTAAGTATGTATATTTGAGTTAAGTATATGTAAGAGGATGAAATAGGAAGTGTTTGAACAGATATGAGGTGATTTTCGTGCTCAAAAGGTAATTTCTGGGCAGAAGGTATCGGTACCCTATGAAGGGGTATCGATACTCCCTTTTAACGAAAAATTACAGAATGTCAGTATGGTATCGATACCCTATAGTGGGGTATCGATACCCCCTGAAGATGAAAATTTCAGAATGTCATCAGGGTAACTATACCATAGACAGGGTATCTATACCTCAGTTAGGGATGTATCGATATGTACTTTAAACAAGAAATGAAATTTGTTTTCCTTTAGTTTAAGAGTTGAAAGATTAAAATATACAATTGGATTATTGATATGCATAAATGTTATATTTATGTAGATATTGAGCCTAAACAAGTTTCGGAATAATCAAAGGAATAGGATTGAATCAAAGCAAGGCTAAGGTGAGTGCAATTTAATTTGTACTTAGGTTATTGAACAAACATCGGCTTGCGATGAGCCAGTGACGGAGTTACTATGGTAAAAGTAACTTCTAAAATGTTATGTGATTATGATTTATGCATTAGTACATAGAAATGGATGTATGTTATTATATGTTATATATATGTTATATGATATGACATGCAAGTTTACATAAACAAATGAGAAATGATAAAAGCCATATAAAATGATCTACATTAATACATGCACTTGTGATATGATATGAGATATATGGTTACACATACATGTGGTATGTGACAGAAGAGAAAGAACAAGTGATATGAAATGTATAAATGATAATGCCCATGTTATATGATATGAGAGCTAGTGGTATAGTTGGCATGCCAAGAGTCGAGGGTTCTACGTGGTCCTTCGGGACATATATGTATCCTTTGGAACATTTACAGGGTCTTTTGAGACAGATTTGATCCACTGGAATATATATATATGGTTCTTAAGGAGTGGTCCTTCGGGACAAATACAGTACATAGGTCCTTCGGGACAAATTTCATAGCCCTTAGTGGGACCCCATACGAGATGTGGTGACAGCATAGTGCACAACCTCAATGTACTCACATACCTTAAGTTCTCACTGGTGTACATGGGCTAATAAAGAGATTAAACAAATATACTGAAGGTGATATACATATGTGATTTATTATATGGTTACAGGATTCATGTATTGGTTATAGGAAATGATATATGTTTTAGTTATATGAACGTATATGATGTGTATAAATGATAAGTATATGATTATATGATAAAAGGCATTAATGATAATAATAGGATAATGACAAGGAAGAAGATATCATATATGTACATGTGTGGATTTGATATATGAATAAAAATATGATAGTATATGTGCATGTATGTAATTTAATATATGAAATGTTTTATGGTTTTATTATATGTTTTATATGCCTCACTAATTCATCGACTTAGCGTGTGATTGTTTCACACGTAGGTTTGGGAAGTGAAAAGACAAGTAAAGAGAAACAATACAGGTCAGTTCTCCTTACCGAAAATCAAATCAGAAATATAAATCGAATTACATGTATTTTGTTAGGAAGAATTTAGTTGACATGTAATAAATAAAAGATTTGTATTAGATACGCTCTGATCGAGTTTTGGAATGTTTTAAATGTATATATGTAAATGGTAAATGTATAACAATGAACGTCTTAAATTTTAAGAATTTATACGTATTTTACGAAAGTACTGTAGCAGGGTACCGTTTACGATACTGTTCATACCGTATTTTACTATTTATAAATACGTTTTTGACTTGAATTTTTATACTGAAACATATTTTAATAGAATATTGATGTATTTTCTTAAAATGAGTTCAAATGTTTTGATATTTTGTAAGAATAAAGGTATTGAAAAGTCAATGTGATATCTCAGACTCGTATCCGGGTCGGGTACGAGTTGGGGTGTTACAGCTCATGTTCTATTCTATCATAAATGTTCAAAATAAGTTAACTTCATTACATTAGAATGAAAGTTTTGTTATTTATTATATGATGAATATGATTTATATGTGTTAAAAAGGAAAGTAATTCATGATGTCCGTACTATGTTCAGTATATGTGTAAACGAAATGTTTAAGGTATGAACTGCCCATTATTTTATGATATGAAAAGTTGGATATATTGATAACTATGATAGTTGATTAGCATATAATAATTAATGAAAAACACCATTGTATGTGCATTGAGAATTAGTGGTACGATTGGCATGCTTTGAGGTTTAGTGACTCTGTAATTGACACTATATGTGCATTATGGTACCATTATGTACATTTATCGGGCACTATTTGTGCGTTCTAGGCTTCACGATGTATTGACATTGTGAGTTTCCATTTTATAAGTTCTGTTGCAATATAATGATGTTGTGTTCTATAGTACCTATATTTATATCTGGCACCAATGGTGCGTTCTGTTCTGACAGTTAAGACTGCATGTTGTGCACACACTAATTCTGACTCGTGTACCTTATATTCTCATTTGATATGCATTAGGCTATAAATTAAATATGCAAATTATATATATATATATATATGATTTATAGGAAAGTAAATGGTTCATCATATATTTTGATTTGGCATGATATGTTTTGCATATGATAAAGTGTTTACACATGTTATATGATTTAAAAGAAAGCTAATGTTTTATTAAGTATTTGATTTGATCTGATAAGTCTTATATATGTGAAATGAAGATTTTACAAGTTACAATAAAAAGCAAGAAGTTTGAAAGTAAATTTATACGTTCATATATTTTTATATTCATAGTACTTTAACTATATATTTAATATTTTATGTTTCAAAAAGTTTTACTTAAATTTATATATGCCTCACTAAGTGTAATTTTAGCATGCGATGATTTTCACGCGTAGGTAAAGAATAGTAAGTGAAGTAAGGTTTTGAGGTTGACAACAATCAATAAAGAATAATTACAGGTATCGATAATGACATCTTACTATTTTAAATTTTCTAGATGACATGTATTTGAATAAGAAGTATCTGAGATATGTTATTATGATTATAAATATGAATCTAAGTTTTATGTTTTAGATAAAAAAAAAAAAATTACTGGAATACAGAGACAATTTTGATTTAGGCAATTTTTTTAAGCAATTTCATTTAAGATATGTAATAGTGTTGAACTTCTAAATTTCTGTCTAAAATCAAGCTTGATTTGTATGATAATGTATTATATTTTGATTTTACACGATTAAGTTATTTTAATAAAAAGGTTAAATTGCATAAACGTTAAATAAACAAATTTTTACTGGATTACAAATGTAATCCATATGTAGATTGTCTGTAAATGTTTTGTGATATCTCTGACTCTTGTACAGGGTTGGATATGAGAAAGAGGTGTTACATTACTATTCAAACCAACCACTATTGGTAGTTATTATTTTTTTAGTTCGAACATTTGGAACACTTTCTTTTGAATTTATTCTGTTATAATTTAGGATAAACTATTTATTTAGTCCTCCACCAATTCTTATAGTTCTGTTTCGGTTACTCAATTAATTTTTTTCTCAAAATTATACTTAACATTATGTTTTAGTTCTGTTTTGATTACCTTTGTCTTATGTAGAAAAAAATATAATTATTTTCGGAATTATAGTTTTTTGGTTCCATTTTGATAAAAAAAAAATTAAAAGAATATTACTTTAATAATTTATCCATTAATTTCAATCAATATTGTTTAAAATCACTATTGTATCTTTAAAAATCTGTTTTTATTTTATTTTTTGAGAGTAAATGAACTCTACATGATGTTCTTTTTTATTTTAAAATTATGTATTTAAAAGAATTGCTCTACATATTTAATACCTTAAAATTAAAATGTATTTAATTTCAACATTTAATAAAATAAAAATATTTATATTATTATAATTTAATGATAAAAATACATTTAAAAATATTATATTATAATTAAAAAAAGATTTTAGCACGAATCAGCTTACCTTAGTGGTTAAAGGAATCGTTGTTGTTCCTAGAGGTCATGGATTTGAGCACCAGCGAGTGCTACAACGTGAGTGAGCGTTCAGTATCAAATGGTTGATAGTATATTTAGAACATATACTACTTGCAATCACCTTAGCTTAATAAAAAAATCTTTAAAAATATTGGAATAAGAATGACATAATTAATGGTAGAGTAAATTACACATTTAATACATAAACTATCAACTTTAATTCGTTTTAGTATCTAAACTGTCAATTTTTACAAAATCATACCTAAAGTTTAGTTTTTGTTTCATTTTAGTTCTTATGTTCAAAATTTAACGTTAAGTTTGAAAAAAAATTAAAAGTTTAGATAATAAAACGGACAAAAATTGATAATTTAAATACTAAATACGTAGTTTACTCTTACTATTATCATTGACCAGCCACCGACTCTTTGGACGGCTAAGTTGATTGCTTAATTTATTTGTTTGGTGAGAAATTGTCATTCTAAATTGACTTATATTAATATTGGGAAAAAAAGGCAAAGGAGAGAGCGGTTTATTGTTTTTTTTTTAATTTTAAAAACTAAAAGACATTCTGAAATTCATTATTAGGTTCCAATTAATAAAAAAATTGATTTAAGTACCGAAACAACAAACATTGTTGTTAATATTTTTTTAGGAATTATTATAGATTTTTAATTAGATCCTAAATAATGAATTAGGCCTAATGTAATCTAGCATTATATGTTCTCAAAGTATGATCCTCATTTTAAATTGTTTCCAAAACTTTTAAATGTTCTAATATCATCCCTATACTATGACTATCATTCTAAATTTATCCTTAATCTTTTAAATATTTCAATTTCATCCTCAAACTATGACCTTCATTCTAAATTGGCCCCAAAACTTTTTGAACATTCTAATTTAATCCCAAACTATATATGTATCTGCTAATCACATTCCTTGTTAATTAAATCGTTAGGCCAAGTTATATTATTATATGTTTGAAAAAACCAAAAGAGTTAATTGTATTATATGTCCTCAAACTATAATCCTATTTTAAATTAGCCCATAAACTTTTAAACATTCTAATTTAGACCTTAAACTATGACTCTCATTCTAAATTAGTCCTTAAACTTTTGAACATTCTAATTTTATCCCTAAATTATGACCATCTTTCTATATTGGTCCCCAAAATTTTTAATATTCTAATTTTATCCCCAAATTCACCCAAATTTGTAACTATTTTCAACCATAGTTTAATCTAAATTTTGTTTTTCAAACATATAATAGTATAACTTGTGCTAACAATTTTATTTACAAGAGATGTGATTAGTATATACATATAGTTTGGGGTGAAATTAGAATATTCAAAAAGTTTGGGGACTAATATAGAATGAAATTAATAGTTTAGGGATGAAATTGAAATGTTCAAAAGTTTGAAGACTAGTTTAGAATGAGAGTCATAGTTTAGGGATGAAATTGGAATATTTAAAAGTTTAGGGATTAATTTAAAATGAGGGTCATACCTTAAAATTTAATTTAGGTTAAACTATAATTGAACTAATTACATTGTGGATGAATTTAAGGATGAAATTGGAATATTAAAAAGTTTGGGGACTAATTTAGAAAGTGAATTATAGTTTAGAGATGAAATTGGAATATTCTAAAGCTTAAGGATTGATTTAGAATGAAAGTCATAGTTTGAGGATGAAATTGGAATATTAAAACAATTAGAGAACAATTTATAATAATTGGGGATATATAATACAATTAACTTTAAATTTTAATTATCTTTTAAATAATTTAAGAATCATATTTTATCATAAATAAATATTACTATAAATTTAATTTTTAAAATTATTTAACATTAATTTTATAAAAATTAATGAATAATTATTTAACTATATTTTATCTTTAATTTAATACTTATATAAATTAATTAATAATTTTGATGAAAGATAATTAAAGTATTGACCTAGTTTGATGATTAATTATTCAGATAATTTTTTGAAATGTTATAAGTATAAATCTTTAATCTCACAAAAATAATTTATTTTGTGTTGATAATTTAATATGAATTAAATATGTGTTTTAATAAAAGTTATGCAATTATTTTGTTTAGTCGAGTGATTAGGCGTTTGGTCTATTTCTGAGATATCATAATTCGAATCATGAAAATTTTAAAAATTTATTCTCATAAAATAATGGCATGTATCGTCATCTTATTGGCTGAATAAAAAATAAATAAAATACCATGATAGTTGAATAAAACATAACAAAATCCTATGTTTCGATTCTTTTAAGAGTTATACACGTACTATTTTCCTCCATTCAGGATTAGGAAAGTTTCTAATGTGGTACGCATAGCTCTTCCAGTGTATGATTCCCTTTTATCATACATTCGTTACCAAAAAAAAAACTAACATTAAGTATGATTTTGAAATAAAAAAAGAGAAAATAACCTCATTGACCAAAAATGCCTTATAATATACAATTTTAACCAACTTTTTTTGGATTTGCCAAAATGACCAACTAAATCGCAATGCGATCGATAATTCGCAACGCAATCTCCGGTATCGCAAATCAGTTTCCAGATTCGCAACGCGATTCTGACTATCGCATTGCGATTTTCCAAATTCATGTTGCGATTTTCCGACTATCGCAATGCGAATATGTAAATCGCAATGCGAGTATGACTATCGCAACGCGAATATATAAATCGCAATGCGATTATGACTATCGCAATGCGATTCTGACTATCGCAACGCGATTCTGACTGTCGCAATGCGATTTTCAAAGCACCATTATTATCGCAACGCGTATTTTTTTTCAAATTCCAAACACGAATATTAATATATCGGAATACTGAACCGTCCACAGTATATCCCATAATCGCAACTCATAACCTAAAACCCTAAATCACAACTCAGTCTCATCTCCATCTCTCACTCTCTAAGGCGACATCCGTCCCCATCTCCGGCGAAATCCGTCTATCTCCATCTCTCAGAGCCACCCTCACAATCATTCACGGTCAGAAATGGAAAATCAACCAAATCAACCACCGAGGGTTAGTTTTTTTAATTATTTTTATTTTGAAATTTTTGCATTATTATTAGGTTTTTCATATTGAAATTGATGATAAGTTTACTGGTAATTTCAATAATAGATTAACCATTTCATTTAGATTGCTTATTAAATTCATTCGATTGCTGCCAATACTGCTAAACTGTTTAGTCTTTAAACCCTGTGAATTTAGTATTTGTCTTTGTTTTGTCTTTTGGTTGAAGTAATGCAATCCATTCAAGTTTCAATTTTAGTATTTGAAACCGAGAATCGCAACGCGAAATGAAAATCACAACGACAGAATCGCAATGCGATTTTAGTTTCGCATTGCGATTTTCATTTCGCGTTGCGATAGTCATTTTCGTGTTGCGATTTTCATTTTCGCGTTGCGATTTTAAGTTTCAAAAACTATTCTTCTTATGTAAATTGAAACTTGAATGAATTGCATTACTTCAACAAAAAAACAAAGACAAATACTAAATTCACAGTGTTCCAAATTTAAGTTTGAAGAATAAACTACTACTCTTTATGTTTATTGTTCTTGGTATATCTTCACAGTGTAGTTTTTGGTATATCTAACTTGGTATGTTTATTGTTTTTGTAGAACTTTTATTCGGCTCAATTGACCTTAAGAAATAAATTAAGCCTGGCCAAAACAATTGCGTCGAAGCTTTCACCTGCATAAAGAAAAATATTTGAGGATACTTGCTTCGAGCCATGGCTGAAAGTACAACATCCGGGTGGAGATGCTATGTTGACCCATCTGTTTCTTCAAACCATGACTAGCGATCTACCAGAGACTATACAACGTCGTGATGAAGAGATATGGTTTGATTTTCCACCGGCGTATACGTGTTTTGGGCGGGAGGAGTTTTGCTTAATCATCGGTCTACGCTTCGGACACGATGATGTAGGTCGGTACACTAGACATATTACCCGCCTATCATAGTTATCCCGGGTTTTTCCTGAGCTGTCAATGGAGAAGCCGAATTTACACGTGGAAGACTTGACGAGATTATTGAATAAGAAAGATGGTTTTACTCGGATGGATGACGTCGATGTTGTCCGAGTATGCCTTCTAATACTTTTCCATGCCGGCTTTTTAGGCAGAGAGGCCAGACAACCTATTCCTAATGATATAATTAAATTGGTAGAGGACCTAAATGCATGGAACATGTTTCCGTGGGGTTCGTATCTATGGAAAGCTACATGGAATAAGTTGTGGTCTGCCTTTGATGATCGAAAAAGTTTGCGTGGCGATGGTTCCAAATACACTTTGTCAGGCTTTATTTGGGCCTTTAAGGTAAGAATTTTTATATAATGTTTCCAAAATTATAATTAATTATTATTTAACAATTACTAATGTTTGTTATTATATTGTTTGTAGATTTGGATATTTGATGCCTTTCCCGCCATGTAGACATATGCATTAAAAACTGCTAATGATATTCCTAGGGCTATTTCCTGGAAGAGGAAACGGACCTTGCAGTAATGGGAAGATTTACTACCGTATACGACAATAAATAATGTAAGTTAACACAAATACTACCATATGTTTATAAACAAGTTATTACTAGTACACGTTTAACTTTGTTTGAGCTTTTATATTGTTTCCATTACAGAGGCTGACACCCACGGAAGCTGAGTTTGCCACTGATTGGTGGCAAGCTAGTAAGCGTTTTTTTTATGGCACGGATGATGAGCAGCCTCCACTTCGAGAGCCATCACCTGTTCGACCCGACTATACACCTCCACAACGAGAGCCATCACCTATTCTGTCACATCATCGAGCCTCTTCTCCACCATCACCTCATGATAGGCGACCGGCAAAGATGCCACGACGTTTATCTCCCTGTTCTCCACCTCCGCCTTCACGGGATGAGTTAGGGGAGTTACGTGATGAGGTCAATGCCTTGCGTGAGGAGGTCGATACTTTACGCGATGACAATGGTGCATGGCGTGTTGAGGTGTCTACTTTACGTGGTGAGGTAGCCGCTCTACGTGAGATGGTAGCATCGTTGCAGAATGAGGTTCATACTCTACGCAACAAGGTAAATTTAATATTTTTCATATTTAACTTGATGATAAATTTACTCGTAATTTCACTTAGATTAACCATTTCACTTAGATTAACCATTTCACTTAGATTGCTTAGTAAATTCATTCGGTTGCTGCCAATACTGCTAAACTGTTTATTCTTTAACCCTGTGAAGTTAGTATTTGTTTTTGGTTGTCTTTTGGTTGAAGTAATGCAATCCATTCAAGTTTTAATTTGCAGAAGAAGAACAGTTTACTTTCGCAACGCGAAAATGACTATCGCAACGAAAGAATCACAATGCGAAATGAAAATCGCATTGCGATTCTCTCGTTGCGATAGTCAAATTCGCATTGCGATAGTCATTTTCGCGTTGCGATAGTCATTCGTGTTGCGATTTTAAGTTTTAGATTCTATTCTTCTTCTGCAAATTGAAACTTGAATGAATTGAATTACTTCAACCAAAAGACAAAGACAAATACTAACTTCACAGTGTTGAAAATTTAAGTTTCAAGAATAAACTACTACTCTTTATGTTGTCATTGAACCTGCACTAAACCTATATGTTGTCCTTTTAAATGTTTATATAAGTGATTACTTCTGGAATGTTATCTGATGCATTTTGTGAACAATGATAGAATAATGACTTGGGTGAATACCGTGCAAGTTTGAAATATATTTGTTTAATATCATTTCTGTTTATTTACAGATTTATGTATTAATTTATTTTTAGCGGCCCGCTAAGGTGGATGCTCTACGTCAGGTTTTTCTTACAAGACGGAGTTCACGCATCAGACGGCGTGCACGTGCCATTAAGTCTCCGTTCACCCCAATAGTGCGAAGAATCCGTAAGAAAAAGACCGACTCACCTGTCATCGTTCAAGAGTCCCCTCCCACCGTTCAAGAGGCCATTGTCATCGTTGAAGAGGTCCCTCCCAACATTCTAGAGCCCGATTCACACGGTATAATATATCGAGTTATTGAGAAACCGCCACACGTGCCGGAAATGATGGATGACTGTTGGCTTTCGTATAAGTTATCGACCAGTACCATTCCGGCAGATGAAGTGGAGAGGAAACAACTACCGGAAACAATTCTGGATAATACCCTTTGGGCTAAGACCACAGTTGATTTTTATCTACATGAGCGGAGCCAAGGGTGTTACGCTGACATATACAAACTCAACGATGATATGCATTTGTTGATTGAACGGTCTTGGTGGGGTGTGTTATTAGGGGTTGAAGGCAATGGCTATTTCGATGGGGGGGTAAGTCTTATATTTCTTCTTATATTTCATTTTGATTAATTTTTTTTAAATTTATGTAATTCACTAATATATGTCTTTTTTGTAAAACAACATATTGATGCATGGGTGTCACGTCTTCTAATAGTAATGGCTTTGAAGAAAAATAAAAATAAAAATAAAAAAATACGCGATATACAATTATGCCGACGTCTTTTCACGTAGTTCACTTGAAGAATCAACGACAGGAATCATATGTGTTGGCTAATGGACAAGCTAAACTTTATCCTGCATGGTGGGAGGTCGATAAGGTTAGTATTTATTTTTTTAAATATTTTAAAGGTGTTCATAAATAAGTGCGCAATTTGAATTATTACTTATGATTACAGGTGTTTATCCCTGTTTTGAAACGTACTCATTGGCTTCTCGTCGAGCTTCAGCTCCCATCCCTGAAGACAATAGTATATGACAGCATGATAAATTACATATCATTGTCTGATTTGAGAGATATTATTAAGGGATGGAGCTCTCATTTGGCTAAATTCTTGGATGCGATTAATTATTGGACTTATTCTGGAAACAAGAAGCCAAAGAAGTTTAATGTTACAGTTATCAGAGACGAGACCGCGCCACAACAAACGCCGGAAGCCAGAGGGGATTGTGGTCCTCTCGTATGCATGTGCTTGGAGCGTTTGACGACAGGAAGTACACAGTTTCTACCTCCCACTGATAGAGATAGAGGTGCAGTAGGCTTGTGGTTTCGGGATTTTATGGCTAGAGCGATATATTCGAGACGCTGCCTACCTGCATCCGCGTTATGAAAGTGTCCATAAACAATTTGTAAGTCAAATGCAAGTGTTGTTAAGTACCTAGAATTCAATAATAATTTGTTGTTTGTTGGTTTTAGATGTGTAGAAAGTGTTATTTGAGCAAATGTTTGGTTTCTGCAGGTTAATCCTGAAGTGAGCTGCGTGAAATTGATGTGCATAAACAACTGTCTGGGGTACACTTTTTTATTGTAATTGATTCTTAAAAGTCTGACTTGTTTAATTGATGAGAAAAATAATATAATAAGAGTTGATTTGTTTAATTGATGTGTAAATAATTCTTATTTGTTTAATTGATGTGTAAATAATTCTTATTTGTGCTTGTTTAATTGATTGAAATGTAAAAGTTGATTTGTTTATTTCAATCTGCATCATATTCGCGTTGCGATAGTCTAATACACTTTGTGATTTTCTCGTTGCGATAGTCAAATTCCCGTTGCGATAATCAAATTCGCATTGCGATAGTCATTTCGCGTTGCGATTATCTCGTTGCGATAGTCAAATTCGTGTTGCGATCGTTAAATTCGCGTTGCGATAGTCATATTCACGTTGCGATAGTCATTTTCGCGTTGCGATAGTCATTTTCGTGTTGCGATAGTCATTTTCGCATTGCGATTATCTCGTTGCGATAGTCAAATTCGCGTTGCGATAGTCATTTTCGCATTGCGATTATCCCGTTGCAATATTCAAATTCACATTGCGATAGTCATATTCGCGTTGCGATAGTCAAATGAATGTGTAATAAGTGATAACAACTGAACAAATCATAGCAATGTTCAAACTCAAGTTACTAATATACATGGGCCTAACTGAAAATGTTAAAAGTTTACACATAAAATACACATAATACAACGTTTGCATTTAAAAATTACCTAAGTTAATAGTCCCAAAAGGTGAAGCCGGTTGTGATTGGGATTTTGATTTTGATTGCGATTTTGATTGCCTTTTGCTTGACACCATATGAGCTTTGAATTTTGATGATGATCCATAGAGGAAAAGATGATTGTGATGGCACTGGTGATCCACATGTCAAACTTGAATGACCACTTTCCTTGCACTGACTACATGTCGATCTCTTCTTCTCTTCACCCTTGGACGGTATACGATTGTGACTTTTTGGTCGGCCAGGTAGCCTTCTGTCCATGGCTGGTGGCAAAACTATTTGTAAGTCATCTGGTATGTCCCACTCAGAAGGATGTGGAATAGGGTAGATAATCTTGGCATAAGTATGTCGATATACTTCTGTAGTGTAGCAATCCATAGAATATGCGCTTGAATCATCTTGGTTTAGATGAAGAGCAACTTTTATAACATGGCCACATGGATAACCAGATGTTTGCCATTTCATACAACTACACGTCTTTGCATTTAGATCAACAAGCCCATTTAAGTTATTATCCAGTACTTCAAACAAAGTGTTTGAACATGGTTCAACTCTATATGACGTTGACTTCAGAACACGTTTCATTATCTTTTTTTCAGTCCATGGTGTAACACGATGTTCCAATGTTTCTGTAAATTTAAATAAATAATACTTAGTAAAATATATGATAAGTTACGAATTTAAAGAAATAATACCTGCATGGTTTCTTTTCTTGTAGTACCACTGTTGAATAGAGCCTCGAAAAAACTCCATTAACATAGTAATGGGTAATTTCCGGGAATGACGACTTAGAGCATTGATTGATTCTGCACTATTAGACGTCATGAAACCATATCTTGCTCCAAGTTGATGTACTCTTGACCAACTTTCAAACCCGACATCTTCTAGTGTTTGAGCACACTGAGGCAAAACACGTCTTAAACAATTTATATGCTTATTAAAATCCACTTCCCGATAAGCTTTTACAGCCTTCCAGTATGTCCATTTGTGATTTTTTATACCAGCAGACATTGATTTTAGATTTCTATATAAATGAACACCACAAAGTCCATGAAAAGCATCTGGGAAACACCTTCTAACAACGTTGTCAATTGAGTTTTCCCTATCGGATATGATTGTCAGATTGCTAATAGGACCTATGCAATCCCTAAGATGCCCCATAAACCATGTCCATGAATCAGAGGTTTCAGATTTGCCAACCCCGTAAGTTATTGGCAGTATCCCATTGTTAGCATCCATGGCTACTGCTAATAAGTTTACTCCAAGGTATCAACCTTTTAAATGTGCTCTGTCAACTATAATAACTGGGCGCATGCAAGTAATAAACGAACGAATCTACAAAATCATATACACAAGAAATATAATCATTTAAATGTGAAATGCATGTAACTAACAAAAATGAGTCAACAAAATTATATTGATTTACTAACCGCAACACCAATGGCGATAAACAACAACTCAAAGCATCCATCTCTATCTGTTTTGATATGAGTTATCGACCCAGGATTTTTCAGCTTTAAATTGTGACAATAAGCCGGCAGTTGGGCAAACGATGCTTCTGGTGACCCCCTCAACAATTCCAAGGCATAACATTTGGCTCTCCAAGCTTGAGAATATGAGATACTAATCTTGAACCGAGCATTCATGTCAGTCATAATTTCATGTCCCTGATATACCCTGCCATTCAAAAACATTAACTCAGCCAAAAAACCACCCAACACCTTTTTGTTTGCCTGTCTATGGTGAGGAAAAACTTGGGTTCTTGAACATGTATGTTTATCAATAAAAGTCCTAACTTGAAACATTTCGCAATCTTTTATCCTCTTTGCAATCATACGCCACGTACAGTTTTTGTCAATCATACACCTTATTTCGAAACGATCTTTGCTTGATTTGTTAACTTTTAGTTGATAGCCATCTTCCACACATTTCGTATACAAAGCTATCTTCAAGTCTTCATTTGTATCAAAACAATCATCTTTCTTGATACGAATAATTTTTGTGTAACAATCAACTGTTATTTTTACCAACTCTTCTTCCGGTATTTGAAGTAATTCTGGCATATTCCAGTTATACTCCCGTGGCATTTTCTTCGGGGACTTTTCTTCAGGGATTTATTCTTCTTCTTTTTCTTCTTCAGGGTTATATGAATTACATAATGGATGTTCAACATGTTCATTCACAGTCGTAACTTCCTCCTCATTATCATCAACAACATCTTCCTCGGCAGCGGCTGTTTCATCATCAAAATTCGGGTATTGATCAATATCAAAATCATTACACGCATGGTCTGTTTCTTCTTCTGAAACATCATCAAAATCCGAGTATTGACCAAGATCAAAGTCCGGGTATTGACCAAGATCAAATTTCGAATACCGACTAGTACTCACAATTTTTTCTGTTGGCTCATCATCGTCTAACTGGTTAATACGAAAATCGGAATTAGGTGCTGAAAGTTGATTGGGATTTGGATTAGGGAAAGGTTGTGGGTTTTGAGATTGTGGTTGGTATTGGAAATGTGGTGAAACAAAATTTGCTTTTTGATGAAATTGTGGTGGAACCATTAAATTTTGAGCATCATAAACTGGGGTTGAAAAACTTAGTTGATTACTACCCGCTACTGACCCAACTTCACTACTTCTAGGTTCAACAACATACAATGTAACATCATCTTGCGAAACACTAATGTAAGCAATGAATCGTTCAACATCTTCATTGTCGGTTAACAAATAAACTTTACCTTTTCTCTGATAAGATAGCCTAAATCCACTTAAGGGCTCTAAATTCAATTTATTTGCAACACGTAACATTAGAGTTTGGAAAATCGCAATGCGATAGTCAGAATCGCGTTGCGAATCTGGAAACTGATTTGCGATACTGGAGATCGCGTTGCGAATTATCGATCGCATTGCGATTTAGTTGGTCATTTTGGCAAATCCAAAAAAAGTTGGTTAAAATCGTATATTATAAGGCATTTTTGGTCACTGAGGTTATTTTCTCTAAAAAAACCCAATAGTTCGTGACCAAAATAGAACCCAAGTGATTGATGAGTGATTAAATAGTTAGTTTACTAAATTATAGGGTAAAGTATAAATTTAGTAGCTAAACTATATTTTGTTCAATTTTGATACACAAACTTTATTTTTTTTCAAAACTATACCTAACATTTAGTTTAGGTTTCAGTTTGGTATTTATCGTTAAAATATTAACAAAACTACATCAGCATCATCTTTAAGTTTTTAACGGTGGATACCAAAATAAAACATGAACTGAACGTTAGGCATGCTTTTGAAAAGAAATAAAATTTGAGTGCAAAAACGGAGCAACGATATTAGTTTATGTACTAAAGTGTAGTTTTTAATTAATTTTCATTTTGAATGCGAAATGAATCTTAAAAACACTAAAAGAAGAAATCTTGTATTATATCACACAGCCTGTGATTCACAGTCACAGGGAACACACAAAAAGAAGAGAGAATCTTTTGCGTCGAGTGGAATGGCGAAGAAGAAGCAAGGGCTGGGTTGGATCGAATGGCTGAGAGGATGGATGTACGTGAGCTACGAGATGCTTTTCCAGAGGATAATGGCGAGTCACCTTCAGAACCCATTAGAGCTGCCGCCCTTGACCGACTTCACCTGTGTCGTAACCGGCTCCACCAGCGGCATCGGGAAGGAAATCGCCCGGCAATTGGCCGAAGCGGGGGCGCACGTCGTGATGGCCGTGAGGAATCCAAAGGCGGCCCTGAAATTTGTTTCTGCTATCAGCTGCTCCTTTAAATATTGAATCTTCGGAAACACTATACATTTTCACAAATCACCATTAGATCCGTTCTAGAGGTTCTTTCGAGTAGAACAACTAGTTAACCTTTTGATGAATGTTTCCATGTGCACAAGCCTTCTGGTTTAGAAGGCTGAAGAAAATTTTGGATTCCCAATTTATTGAAGATTTTTCATGAATATCATTAGATGATTTTCAATAAAGCTTCGCTGTTTGATGTAAAAGAAAATAGCTTTCTGATAATATATTACTACAACACAGAAACTTTAATGGAAACAGAGATAAGGGGAATCGGGAATATTACATTTTCCATCATTCGATATCAATGCAGGTTCTAGGAGTGCTCTCTTCTCGGCAACAGATCCCCAGATTCCAGAGTACTGTGAGTTGTTGAAAGCCGATGAGTGGCTTATTTGTGCATTCATCTCCCAAGATTGTCGACCTACAAATCCTTCTGAAGAAGCACACAGTGTCGAGGCTTCATTAGAAGTGTGGGAGGAGACATTGGAGATGATCGGCCTTCCTTCAGATGCTGTGGAGAAACTCCTTGAAGGTAAGGAAGTCAAATGTCGATACGGCACTCAAAATGACTAGTTCTCACGGAAAAAGTACGTTTCCTAGGGATCTTGAGCTCCGTTCTGAACGTCCAAGTTATAAATGAGATTACTACATGATGGCCATTCGATTTGTGATGAAAGGTTAGAGCTTACATCATTTTATTTGGTGCCATATTTCGGGTACTGTTTTGATTTTCATGCATGTCCTCGTGAAAGTATGCTCCTGTAACGTGTTTGATACATTGTGGACTGTTTCGGAATCATTTAGGATTCAGTTGGACCTTGGATGTAACATTTTACTCGAAGTAAGGAGTCATTGCACACCTATTATTTTGAAAAAAATGTTAAATTTAGTTTAATTTGTTAATAGGAATAGAAAAAAAATAAGAAAATTTGCATACCCAAATTTTTTAGAATAGGGTATTAAAATTTTGGATCTCTATTTTTTAATTTCTAGATCGTGAAGAACTCCCTAGCTGTTTATGAAGCTGATTTTGCTCTTGCTATAGTTTAGTTTACATGCCAGACCTGTCATTATGTATGCAAAATAAAATCACTTTATTAAATAGAAGAAAACATCACATTACCATGCCCTCATTAAAAAACCCCCTAATCCTGAATGAAAAAAAAAGAGTGCGCCATAGCAATGGAACAGAGCAGCAACCAACAACTACAAAAAGAAAGTAACCTAAAAGAATATATAAAAGAGAGACATGTGGTTATGTAGGCATGTTTTGTCTCTCTTTTATATATTCTTTTACCTATTTTATGTTGATTTATTTATTTGAAGATCGAATATGAATCTAATCAATCTCCAATTTAAATATGGGTAAAGTGCACCAATGGTTGCTTGACTATAGGATGTTACTTTGTTGAGTTCCTCGATTATTAAAATTTACAAAATAATAATCTGACTATTCATATGTTCCAAACATATACTTTTCTGTTAAAAAATCCGATCCCATAATTGTTTGATTTGTATAGTCGTTTGAAATTCTAGGATGACTATAGGACGTTACTTTGTTGAGTCCGTCGATTATTAAAATTTACAAAATAATAATATGACTATTCATATGATCCAAACATATAATTTTCTGTTAAAAAATCCGATCCCATAACTGTTTGATTTGTGTAGTCGTTTGAAATTTTATGATCAAATTTTATCATTTTTCAATCAACAGATTAACGTAACTTTAATAGTTGAGGGACCCAACAAAATAATACCCTAGTCGACGATCATTTTGTAATTTTCGAAGTATTCAACAAAGTAATGCCTTACTGTCACTATTTGTGTATTTTACCCTTTAAAAATTAAAAAGAAAAAAAGAAAAATCAATCCATCATATTACAAATGAATTTTGATCATTGATTAGATCCAAACTACCACAAGTGGGAAGGTCGAGTTATTATTTGAGTTTACCTCTATAATCGTATAATTTAAAAGTATTCTCCTCTAATTAATTATTCAAATTGATTCAAAAAAGTAAAATTAGTCGATCTATTTAACTTAACCCTTTCAAACCAAGTTGGATTTTGCTTTGTAAAATGGGAAAATTATTGAAATTGTTTGCTTGAGTTGTTGTTGGAAACTAATGTTTATACTTGCATGTTTTGGCTCTCAAAACTCAATTGAATATGCACTGAAGTTGTTCAGGGTCGTTTATGGACTATAAGTGGTCCAAGGATTCTGAGTTAATTGTTCAAAGCGATTGTGCTGTTGTGGTTAATTGGATTCTGAATCCTTCCTCTATTCCGGTCGAATGGTCGTCACGGATTCTGAGTTAATTGTTCAAAGCGATTGTGCTGTTGTGGTTAATTGGATTCTGAATCCTTCCTCTATTCCGGTCGAATGGTCGTCACTCCTTCACCCCGTTGCAGCAATAGTATTTCGCGAGAAGTTTGCCGTCAATCTGGTTCCTAGAAGGTGCAATACTTATGCTGACCAGCTGGCCGAGATGGCTGTTGGCAGAGTGAATTCACAGGTGGCGGTTAATGAAGTTTAATGTTGAAGCTAGGGAGATATCTATTGCTTAAAGCCGGGAGGCCGAGCCAGCTGTGCGAGCATTCCTGGTCTTCTTGAGGGTGTGTTATATGGTTGGGCAGTATTTTCTTTTTTTTGTTCCTAGAGGTCATGGATTCGAGCATCAAAAGCTGCAACAAAGTGATTGAACGTTCATTATCAAATGATTAAGAGTATTTAAAATATATACTATTTTATAATCACCTTAGCTTAATAAAAAAAATTATAGTGCTCTTGTTTGATGTGGGCTATCCAGGTTCTGATTGAGTTTTGGTGTTGCTGGTTGTAATTTGGGTGTGTTCCCTATCCTGTTTCGCTAGAGCAGTCCTAATCCGTGTCATTGTCTAGGGTGCACTATTTTTCTTCTATTTAGGTCTAAAGAGGTTTTTTATCGAGGCCCCTAGCAGTGAATTTTCATCATTATTAACAAAAATCTTGCTTTTCATAAAAAAATGTTGCCTAAACTGAACCATACACACTGCTAGAATTAGTTACTACATAAACTAAAAGAAAAGCTGCATACTCAAATGGATTATCCCAATCATGAACTCTTCATTGAGCTCTGGCTTCGATTTCTTGATCTCGATAAACATGCCACTTTTTGTATCTCTGAAACCCCGGTAAAACAGGTCTGCGCCGAGGTGCAATCGTGCAACTGTGACAACAACATCCTCTCAAATCCATCACACAATTTGCACAACATCTGCATAGTAGAGATAAATACAATTAGCCACCGGTTATATTAAGCTGAAACGAACGTTTGAAAAGTAAGTACGTCGTGCAAAGCAACATTTTCCCACCAGAATATGATATTTTCTGGGGAAAATGTTCCCAGAATTTGATACTTAAATGTAGAACCGAAGCATTAAGACCAATGAGAAAACTAGAAAGCTAGAAATCAACATATAACAAAAGGAAAATGAAGCAGACAATAAAATGACTCGCATCACATGAAACCACTATGGTCTGAACATTATACTTCCCACACTACTGAGATCTGAAAGTTCACTACCAAATTTCAGTCTAGACCCTCCAAAAGCAAAATTTCTTGAATAGGCTGCCATGAGTCCTCTATACATGATCTTTCAAGAATACCCAATTTTCCAGAGATCAAGGCTTTGCTTGGTAAAGTGGAAAGAAAGTTGGAAGGATGGAAAATTAAAGAGATAGAAAAGTGGAAAAAATGGATTTTATTTTTCCTTTTCAATGGTGTGCCTGGTAGGAAGTATATGGGAAAATTGATTCCATTCATTTCTTGGTCGAGTTAAAAATGAAAGGAAAGGAAAGAAAATTAAGCTTTGGGGAAAGAAAAAAACATTTTGGAACAACTCGCATCTTTCTCACATTTTATCTCAACTTTTCCCTCCAAATCAGAGTGATTTATTTTTACACATGATGATGGAAAATGATCATCCCTTTCATTTTCTTTACCCTCACATTTTATTTTATTTTCTTTCCACTTTTCCACTCATCCTTCCATTTTTTTCCACTCAACCAAGCAAAGCCTAAGTGTTAAAATCACACGCTAGAACTCTAGAACCAAATAATTGATGTGATAGATTAGAGTCCATAGTTGAATTATTTTTAATGACTATTTTTCCAACAGACCTATATATTTCCATTAAAGAGAGACAACACCACAATAACCTGGTTAGATTATTTGTGACACATGGATATCTAGCATGAACTAAACCTTTACAAGCTATGCATGCGAAGAATGCCATAAAGGGGAGAATAACTTACAAGAAAAGAAGGTTGCAGTCAAGGTTGGCACAATTCCGATGCCTTAACTCAGAAGCTTTGGAATCACAAACATAGCATTTAGCAAATTTCTCACTATTGAATGCTTGCCGGGTCAAACCGGATTCAATCATTGTTTCACGGTTATAGGCAGATGGCGGGAGAGAAAGACGAGAATCAAATGTGAATAAGTTCCCAATCCATTTTACAGGACCTTCAGTTTTGAGGTAATGAGATACTCCTCCCTTCAAGGTGTACAAATTTTGGAAACCCTGTTGTCTAACACAAAAATGAACCATCTTGTTAGAATCGACAATTTTCTCTAGTAGAATGATCTGCAAAGTAATTCAATCACAGTTAAGGCGTGTTTCACAATGTTTTTCCGTTCTACTGAATTACAATTTTCATCACTACTAAAGCAGCACATTCTCAAGAGTTCCAAGCATCATGATGTTGATCAGTTGTATCTCACTATCTTGAATAGTTTGCTTGAGGCATACCCACTGAGTCGGTCAGCGTTAAGATACTAGCTTCACCTATGCCATTCCTTCACTAATTTTTATTTTTAAGAATTTATCATTTTCAATGCTGAAATATTAGATGGGTAATTTGATGTGCACGTTTAGTTTTTAGATGTATTTTTTAATTCTGGTATAAAGCCTTCTAAATTTCAAACTTAAAATGTTACATGAAAGAAATGGAAGGAACAGAACAGCAGGTTACCTTAAGATTGTAGAATATACATCACAACGAATACCTCCTGTGCAATACATCAAAATATCAGTTTTTTCTTTATCAACTTGTGATAGCTGATCAGAAGCAACACCCTGCAATACCAGAGAAGAGATACTAGCCTGCATTCAGAACCATAGACATAAAAGCCCATAAAAGGAAGAAGTAAAAGGAAAAGAAAAGAATGATCCATATGCCACTATGGTAGAACGCAGATCTTCGACCTGTTTTGTTCCAGCAAGTAAGTTTCCAGCCACAACAATCAAAATCCAATTCACAATCATATGAACATATAAAAAACTAACCAACTCTCAAAATGCTATTTGCACCATAAAAGAATTGTTGTGGACACTTGGGAGAAGATGTTAGGTGGAGAAATCGTTAGGTAGGAATCTTAGAATACAGGAGTTGTTTTAGGACCTGTGAAATAGAAGTTGCCTTCAGTATTACTTTATTTAACTTGATATACTTTCTTTATATTGTAATCTCCATTTAAGGGGATGATGAATAAAACAAAGGCAAGTTGAATTTTACCAAAAACCCTAAAAAGGGATCCGAATCTTTTTCTAACAAGTCCTAAAGGTTTCAAGCTCCCTTTGATGAACTTGAGTTATTTCCCTGTCCATCGTCCATGAGTCGATTTCAATTCATTCGTAACAATTTGACATCAAAGCCAACGATCCTCCGACATGGCAGAACAGTGGTCAATCATGTTTAGAGCAGAGATACACAACTCTTTGACTGATATGGTTTGTTTTGTCAAAATGTAGCATAATCAATTAAAGGAAAGAGAATGAAACAAGTCCAAAAGTTTATTTTTTAAAAAAGTGACAAAACTAAAAGCCATGTCTTGAAATTGAGAAATAGCTGGTGACTGTGGGGCATTACTTAAGCCAGAAACGGAAGAGAGCTGGCAAAGGACAAAGAGAAGGCACTGAGTCAAGAAGACTGTAAATCGGTTAAGGAAGAAGAGATGTAGCTGAAAACCAAGAGTTGATTTTGGGAGAATGAAGGGGGACAATGAAGGAAGGCTTGGGTGAGGTTGTGAGGTTAAGAAGAGTTGTAACTGAAGGAAACTAGGAAAAAGATTTATGTTTGGGTTTTTAAGTATATCTTTGTATTTAACTGAAAAATACTAACTTGATATTAGAAAATATATATATCATAAATAGAATGCTTGATTAGGCGCTAGCTACTTGCATTTGTTATTAGGATATTCAAGCTCCGTTAATTCGATAGTTTCTAATAGGCTAAACTATAAAGGGAAAACTGCCAGGATTCCTAGAAATAAACCAACAGTAATAGTCCCTGATTTACTTTTTTTTAAGCTTAAAGTCAGACCCACCTTTAATGCACCGCCCCTAAATTTACACCAGTTTCATGAATAATGGAACCAATGAAACACCGATGCTTGGCTGCAAAAAGGATATCATGCGGTTTATATTAACCAATCATACTTCTGCCTCTTCCCCTTGAAAACCACTTTAACATGGGACAATGGAGCAAGATAAAAATAAATTGAAGAGATGAATAATTGGTTGAAACCGTTCTAAAAATACCTGCACGACTGGTTTAATAATGCTAAAACAGATTTTCTTTCAGCATATATTGATGATTTATAAATAAGAAATGAAACCCTTTGATATCCTGTAAAGTATATTTCAAAAAGCTACAAATTAATCCCAGATAAGTGGGATAATCAACAGCAAAACTACTACAAGCATACCATCATAATAGGAGTTAGCATAAGGCCCCCATAACGGAGTTATAATAATTTACATATGACCTTGCTAACAGATTATAGAAGTTCACATATGACCATGCTAACGGGTTATAATAGTTAGTAATGACCTTGAGAATGATGTTGTCCAACTGATTGTTGTCACAGATTATAGTAGAAACCATAAGTAAAGATTTTTTATTTTTTGAAAGAAAACCATAGGTAAAGATAAAGATGATGAAACCTTAGGAATTATAAATGTTAAGCCTATGATATTTTGATCCCACTTTTGAAGAACAATTCATATTTGAAAATGATAAATGGGTTTCTTAAATAATCCGATTTAAAGGGATAATTATTCGTAATGATATCTTAACCGGTTTCATAGCATCATCAAACCAATGTTGTCGAATAATCTACATCATATACAATATGACATACTGAAAATGATGCTTGATTTGTTATGGTGTGTGAACTGTTTACTGGATATTTAAAGATACAAATTGGTGAGAAGCTATGAGATATGGCTTGCGAGATTGTTTTATTATAGAGCCCTTACAGCTATTTAAAGGCTCTGAATTGGTGGGAAGTTACGAGATCCAGTTTGGAATATTGGATATTGTTTTGGTATTGAGCCATTACTAGCTACTCAAAGATCTTTTAAAATGTAACAAGACTTGAACATTGTATTTGGTTTGTCTGTTTCTTTTGGAGACTTTAAATTGGGATGTATTAGCTAACTAATGTGAATGTGATATAAAAGATTATTCAAGTCTCCTCTTCTTGTATATACTTGAGTTGTCTCCATAAACCAATTCATTTGAAATTTTCAAATTTATGCAATGCATCGATACTATAGAAGGCATTACAGACATTCTGGCAAACCCTACTAACTCCACAACATGAGAACTCTCTGCAACAAGCTTGCCACTTTATACTGAGGAGAATTCTTCCACATGAAATCATCACCTAGATCCTGGTATGAACTGTTCACCAATTTTGAACCTTCCAAAATTGCCCAATTAAAAACCTCCTTAATCTATCCTTTTATATACAGTGGGACTTCGAATTTCTATTACTGTTACATTCATGAATTTTGGATGCAATGCAAACAACTATTGGTCCAAAACCGCTAAACAAATATGTTGTCTAGCATGGATCTAAACGTGCACCACCCATGCTCAAATGTTCAAACCAAAATTTGACATCCACAAAGTAATATCATTACCTGAGTTGGAGATGTTCCAAATGAAGTGCTGCGAAAGCAGTCCACATCTGGTCGATGAGCACCATGAAAATGGCCAATATCCCATTCATAACCTAAATTCAAGGAATCCCAACATCTTCAAACTTTAATAGGAGAATAATGTGAAAGCAATCTACAAGTTTCTATAGTGAAGAGTACTTTCTAATAGTTATCCAAAAATACTGGACTTGTTTTTCTTTTTTCTTATTGCACTTTAGACACAGCACAATTCAACTTGAGAGATATTTAACTTTCTATTTTCAATTGCTAATTCAAAGAAGAGAATTTGAAATCAGACGTATGATTACTGATCTATGGATCCCAAATAGGCTATGAACATTCTATATTAGTAATCGCACATCTAACATCATCACATCCACCACAACCAATAAATTTAACAAGGTGATCAAAGTTGGTTTCAGGAATGACTCTAATGCAACCACTTACATAAGCTACATCCTGTAAACAAAAGAGTCAAAATCATTCAAATCTCGTAATCTATTTCGCATTTTAGCAATAAGAAATAATCTTGGAAAAAGCTGACTATAGAACAATAACCAACAAATATCCTCCAAACTAGTACACTCCAAACACTGACATCAACAATAGAACAATAACCAACAAATATCCTCCAAAATAGTACACTCCTAACATTGACATCAACAACATGAAATCATAAAATAAGATTCTGGTTTGGCACATTTTTTCTGATAAGAATTGGAGATCTTGTTAAAAACCCCCTTCTTAATTTTCATTCTACCATGAGGGTAGAAAGACAAACAGCGGAAGGAGGAAAAGAAACCGTGGGCTAGGATTAAATTATTTTTGTAAGCCTAGTATAAATAAGCTGTAAAAATATTACAGCCACAACTTATCATTATTATTTTCTTTGAATTAAAAGAAAACGAGAGGTTTCCTTAACCCTAAGTTTTTATTGAGTTCCATCTTCTTTCCTCGTTTGTTCAGCCTTATTTCTTTTGATTACTGTCTTTTTCCTTCTTACCCAAATCACATTATCCCCTAGATCCGTTATACTACCTAATTCAACCTAGATCCCAATTACCTGGAAATATTTGAAAATCCATGCATGTCCCTTCTATCAACAATTCACCATTTTCTTTTCCTTTTTAGTCAAGTGACACTAGCAAGCTTTACTACGCAAACCATGAATTAAACAAATGTGATAATAGTTACACTTAGAACTACTGTAGCAAGACAAATTTATACTATGCTGGTTTAAGATACCTTAGTAGGCCTATGTTCAAGGGCTCTTCTATCTTATCAAGTAATTACCTCTTTTATGAATGGTTGGAACAAGAACTTTTTTTTTTATAATAATAGGAGGCCTCGTTAAAAATCCCCTTCATAACCATCGAACTACTAGAGTAGCTCAACGGACATTGGAAGGAGGAAAAGAGTGTCTCAATTATTTTATTGCTAGAAACCAAATACACCAGGAGTTCCATAATACCAATTACAACCAGAACATCTCAAACACTAAAGACAAAACCATTATAACAGCATGACACAAACTATTTAACCTATCCCTATCTTAGCAAGTTCATCCGCTTCCCAATTAGCTGCTCTCATTCCATGCCTAACAGTAACACCTTTCTCCACTACAAAGGAGAATGTCTTTCACCAATGAGTTGAACAGTGGGGTGCAGGAAGTAGGGCTCTTAATCCACTCTAAAGCCATCAAACAGTCGGATTCTAAAATGAGCTTACAACACGCTGAACTCCCCGACTCCATGAAGAGCAGCAACCCTCTTTTCATTGCCAAAAGTTCTGCTAAAACTGGAGGACTTGGACCAACACTATCGGACAAAGAACCCAACACCACACCTTTCTCATCTCTGAGCAGCCCACCAATTCCTCCTTTCTACCACAACCTCTCTATAGCACCGTCCACGTTCAATTTAACAAAACCAGGGGGAGGAGACCAACACACAGACTTTAATGGGAGTCGTTTTATAGCTCTGAAAACAGTCTCCTAAGGTAACATCCCCCACTAGGCTATCAAAAGGGATTAACACCTTAGGAAATTTTGAAGAGAACCATGCTTCCACCCTATACCTTGCAAGAAACGAAAGCAGAGCAGAATCAAGCTTTCCCTTTATTGAACACTATTTCGTTTCTCAACTTCCAGATCGTCCACAATATAGCCTCATGGATAAAATCCTAAATGGTTGATCGAGGCAGGAGATCAAACCAAACAGAAATCAAAGTAGCAGGGCTCTCCGGAACAACAAACGAAACATTCCATAACCTCAGAAAACTCGCCCATAATTCCCATGACACTTTGCATTGGACAAACAAGTGGCAAACAGATTCCGGAGCCAAACCAAAAAATGGAAAAAAAATAATCTTCAATCCCTAAAACCCCACGTTTAATTAGCTCCACCTTCTTATGAACTACCTGCCAGACAAACGATTCCACCCAGGGAGGAGCCACACCAATCCACACATGCCTTAACCAATGATAACTATCATCAAACCTGTCAAAAAAGAGACGTAGGCATGACTTGACCGAGAAACAACCATCCCCCTCTCCTATCCATAACAGATTGTCTTCAAGCAGAGGAGAAGAATTGAAATTATATAGCAATGAGATAAGATCATTCCATTGCTGCATCTCCCAATCAGCTAAATTCCTTCTCATACGAATGTCCCAAAACCAACCTGAGGAGTTCGATTTCCGAAAATCAGCAATATTTCCCTCTTTATTATTCGAAAGGGAAAACAATCTTGGAAAGCGCACTTTCAGTGGAACTCTATCGAGCCAAGCATCGTGCCAAAACTGAACAGTTTCCCCATTTCCCACCTTCAATTGAAAATTACTTCGAAGACAAGCACCAAAATCATCATCCGAGCAACAATTTCCAGCCACTCCCTTCCACATCCACGAAGCTTTGCGAGAGGCCATATTCTCCATCCCAATTGCATTCGAATCAATCTTATTGTTGCAACAAATTACCCTCTTCCACCATGAATCCCTAGCATTCGCAAATTTCCATGCCCATTTTCCAAGTAGCGCTCTATTCATAAGCTTCAAGTTGGGAACACCAAGCCCTCCCAACGCCTTAGGCTTGCAAACCGTAGATCAATTAACCCAATGGATTCTGGTCTTGTCAACCGAATCCCCCCATAAGAATTTCGCCATAATTGAATTAAGTCTCTTTAGAACACAGCTTCGCATCCTAAAAATTGACAAGAAGAAAACCAACAAAGAGCAAAGTATTGATTTTATCAACATGACTCTTCCAGCAATCGACAATGAAGATGCTTTCCACCTAGCCAATTTCTTATAAAACTTCTTAATAATCGGATCCCATAATGATGCCGAATTCTTCTTTGCCCCAAGAGGCAAACCCAAATAATCAGTTGGAAAGTGACCCACTGAAAACTATTGCAGCAACCCACTCAAAAAGAACATCTTCATTAACGTTAATTCCAAACAGCCTACTCTTTGTTAAATTTAGTTGCAAGCCAGACATCATTTCGAAAATTAAGAAGACTCTATTGACATTCTTCAATTCCCCAATAGAAGCGTTGCAGAAAATCAGTAAATCGTCAGCGAATTGAAGGTGAGAAAGCATGAAAGAGGTATTCTAACTTTCAAGCGCAAAACCTCTGAAAATGCCGTCCCTCACTGCCTTTGACAACATCAAACTCAACAGTTCGCCCACCAAATTAAAAAGAAGAGAAGAAAGGGAACATCCTTGCCGAAGACCCCTAGCAATCCGAAACTCTTCCGAAGGAGAACCATTCACTAAAACTGAAATTAACGCCGAGGACAAGCACATATTAACCCAGGATTTCCATCTCTGCCCAAAACCCATGAAATCCATAATTTTCAGCAATAAATCTCAGTCAATTAAATCATAAGCTCTTTTAAAATCAACCTTAAAGGCCAGCCCTTTAAGACCTTTTCTTCTCCAGTATTCAATTCCCTCATTTGCAATAAAAGCGTAGTCTATAATATGCTTCCCCGGAATGAAGGCGAATTGAGATGGACCAATTATCGAGTCCATACAAAACCTTACTCTTCTCGATAAGACTTTCGACAAAATCTTGTAAAGCCCCCCAACTTAGGTAATGGGCCTAAAATCCTCGATGCTTTCCAAACAGGACTTTTTTTGGAATAAGAGTTATGAAAGAATGGTTAACCCACTTCTCCCACATTTTATCCAAAAAAAAACTCACTGAAGAATCTCATAATTCCCTCCTTTAAATGCGGCCAAAACTTTTTAAAAAAACCCATGCTCAGCCCTTCTGGCTTCGGAGCCTTATTACTGTCTGAAGAGGACATAGCATCCCAAACTTCTTCCTCCGAGAACGGCCTCTCCAGAAAGGAATTATGTTCCTCTAAAATCATAGGAAAATTCAAATCCATTTCCTCCACCTCAATCGTAGGTTTCCTGTTATAAGCCTCTTTGAAGAAATTGATAACACTTGATTTAACTACTTCAGGATCCGTCGTTAGCTGTCCATTCACCCTCAACGCTTTAATAGCATTAACTTTGCTTCTATTAGCTGCGCACATGTGGAAATATCTCGTATTTCTATCTCCCTCCGAAAATCATTTTACGCGAGACTTTTGCAACCAAATCAGCTCCTCCTCTTTATACAACTCCCATATCTTCTTTTTGGCCTTCATCAAAAATTCAAAAGAGACAAAAGCAGATCCCTGTTGCATCTCAAGCTCCATGTCGTGGATAGACTTCTCTAGCTTCGAAATGACACCTTGCATCTTCGAAAAACTCTTCTTCAACCACTTCTAAATAGTTGCTTTTGATCTTCTAATCATATTGTAAATACCTTTCCTCCTACAATCTTTACTCACATTTTTAAACTTCTCCACCATCATCTCTTTGAACCCCTCCTCTTCCAACAAATAATTAAACAGCCTAAAAGGTTTCAACCCCCAATCAACCCCTTCATTTTCCAGAACTATTGCATTATGATCCGATAAGGATTTCGGACGCAAACTCTGATTTATTGTCGGAAAATTTTCTAGGAAGTTCGAATCTACCAAAAATCGGTGTAGCCTTACACAAGTCGATATTTCCCT